CTTCAAATCTGCCATCTTTTCCAAAACCCTCCTAGATGTCTCCTGTTCTTCCATCCTTCAGAAATGTTGCCTTTTGGTCTTGTTTTTCAGTGAGAGAAAGGAGACTGACAACTGTTCTTATTCACACAATGGGTAACATATGTCAAAAGTATTGCAATGTCCTCCTATGTTAAGTTTTTAGCATGCATTTGGCATTGCTAATTCTTATCTTTGGTTCTGTGGCTCTAGAGGCTATTAAATACAAAACAATATGGTGCATGATTATGTGTATGGAAATTAATAATAGTTAAGTAAAAGACAATAGTTGGATTATGAGTTTCATTGGTTTGCCTTTAAACGACAACGACAAGCCTTATCCCATTAAGTAGGATCGGCTATCATTGTGTTATATCAATAACCAAATCTTTAGGTAGGTTTGCTGCTAAACAATCTAGATCTATTTTCTTAAATTATGATAGTGGATGGGGACCCAACTGGGAGGAATTTTGCTGTTGTAACAGATCATGAATAAGTGATTCAGTCTTTATTAACCTCAGTCTTCTGCTTTGCTGCAACTTCCCAAACCAGAAATCAGAAAGCATACTCGTTTTACTTTTTATTTGAAGACTCTTTACTTGAACTGTAAAAGGGGAAGCCAATAATGAACATTATTTATTAAATTGAATTTTTTTTTTTTGGGTATGTGTATATTTGTACCTGAACCTTACGTATTGCTTTTGAAATTGTATAATCATGCTTTTTAAAGAATATCAGTAGAATAATCATTTTACACTTTTGTGCATGAGAACTAGCAGCATGGTAAATGTATTTGCATTTTATAATTGTTTTACATTGTATTATATGATAATTAGTTATTGATTATTGATTTTCGTTACCTTTTAGGATTCTTTTAAAGAGTCTTGTTCTTTTGGTGTTTATGTAGGTTGCATCAGAAAAGGGACTTTTCTCTATCGTCATCAATCTTCAGGTGAGAGTTAACTTTCAACAAAGGATTATTTAGTCTGAAAGTTTGTTTGAATGCATGCTGTTTGATTTGCAGGTGCCTGGGTCAACACACTACAGTATGGTATTCTATTTTGTGACAAAAGAGTTAGTTTCTGGATCCCTCTTGCAACGTTTTGTTGATGGTGATGATGAATTCCGAAATAGCAGATTCAAACTCATACCATCAGTCCCAAAGGTGCTTGTTGACTTTTGTCATTGGTGTATTGGACCTTTTTATCTGTCATGGTGGTGTTGGTGGTCTAACTACTAGCGCATTGTAAATTGTCGGTTCTTTGAGTAGCTATCGCTTCTGCATCCAGCGATGCTCTTATGTCTTTATACGAGCACATCATATTTGTGTGTCAAAAATTTAATCTATTAAGCAAATACCTGCGAGTAGTTTTTGCTATAATATTTTTAATACACTCCTCGAAAGGCTGTTGGGCTTGAGGTATGTATAAAGCATAGGCCCACCATACCTTTGCTACGTAGTACTGGGTGACACTAAGGCCGTGTTTGGTACGCAGGATTGGGAGTGTGAAGAAATAGCAAATAAGATGAACATCTGGCTCTTGCAACATTCAGATTGATTCTAGGGAGCTATTTCTTGCGTGCATGATTTAGGTAATAGAGTTGATTTTGCCTAAACTCCAGAGCTAAATTCTAAACGACCAAAGTAGTATAGTGATGCCCTTTCCAGTGGTTAGAACTGAGTTGAGTTTGTTATGAGAAGAAATTCTTTAAGTTTGCTATGTAACCAGGTTTTGTTCACCTTGTTCTGTCGGTTTAACGCTTTTACAAGACTCTTGATGGGCTAATGCTCATATTCCGTCAATCTCTGTCTTTTAACAAAATGTAGGGCTCATGGATTGTGCGACAAAGTGTTGGGAGTACACCTTGTTTACTTGGAAAGGCAGTTGATATCAACTATATTCGTGGCCCCAAGTATTTAGAAGTAAAATATCTTTCAAATCTCTCTCTCTCTCTCACATGCGCGCGCACACACAAACACACATTTACGTTGCAGGAAGTTACCTTATCAATGGTGAACAGTTTTCTTGTTTAATTATTGGTTAATCAATGGCTTCTATTTGTAGATTGATGTTGATATTGGATCTTCTACTGTTGCTAATGGAGTTTTGGGGCTTGTAGTTGTGTGTAATTACAACATTGGTGGTCGACATGGCATTTCTTGTACAGGTACACTTTTTGGAGTGGTGAATTTTAGTACTGCATATCTAATTTAGTAATGGTGATTAAATCGGTGCGGCTGGACTTGATTGATCTTTTGTTACAGTTATCGTTGACTTCACTTTGATGCTTATTCTCTTTTGCCAAATACCCGATTTTAGTTAAATATACTTGTGTGGATCTAATGTAGGATTTGCCATATTTCGTATGACAACTCCAGCCCTGAAAACTACAAGATATTGAAAACTGCAATTTTCTCTGATATTATGTAAAATTTAAGAATAGAAATATGATGATTGACTTGCACACTGTTGGAAATCACACACTATGATAGCCCCCCTCTCTGATGTTTATAATAGTATGTAGATAGAGATTAAGTTCCCGCTGAAATAAGGATCCACACAAGGAAAAGCACTTGCCATTCGTTGGTTATTAGGGGCATCCCGAAAACGTCCAGGTTATAAACTGAAGATAATGATATAGGATAACTCAAGACTCTTAAAGAATAATCAACTAAAACCCTAGATGATGATAAACTCTGGATAAAGAAAAACTCTAGATGCATCAATTCTGATTCAGACAGGCTTCTCATCAATATGGTGTCCACTGGGTAGAAATGCATTATGAGACGTGGTTTGAAGAGGGAAGGGGATTAGGGAAGGGATTCTGATAACTAGTCTTTTGCCATTCTTAGTTACAGTTTGCCCTTAATGTTGGGTCTGACTGAAGCTTGCGGCTTTGGGTTTAAGAACCGACTTAATGGGGTTAGCCATATTGACAGATCATTTGTATCCTCTAATGACCTTGCTGTGAAATGGGGTGACTATTTGTTCCTATTAACAGGCAAATACCACAGATGAATTGCCGGAGCGGCTTATCGGTGCTGTTCGTATTTCGCATTTGATGCTCTCATCTGCCATTGTTCCCAAACTGGATTCTGATCATGAGTGACCACAATTTTATTATTCTCAGGAAATAATTTGTTTGTACTCTGTAAGGTGCATCTATACCGTTTCAATTCAATTTTTTTACTGGGATGTAGCTCCAGTGTTCCCTTATTGGGTTTTCACATGGGATAGAAAGAGGAATGCTTTCCCCCTTTTGTTGTTCATGTAAGTTGTAAGCTTTTTGAAACGCCGGATTATCTCAATATCTTGTTATTTTGTGAACTCGTCTCTGACAACCCTTTTTTTTTTCCTCCTTCATTTCAAGCAAAAGAGGAAGATTTAAAATTATTATATTAATTGCATTTCTTATTTATAACTTGATTAATACAAGAGTTAACATGCATTTGTTTAATGCTTTACTCAAACGATCATTGAAAGGGATTAAATTTAATAAACTAGCTTAAAAATGTATAATGTGTGTATTGAAAGAGACACGAGTTAGAATTTATAAATTAGATTGTCACCTAGCAAAAAGAAGTGAATTTATTCGGGTATCATAGGATGAAGATTTCTGCTTGTATGCATTAACTGAAACAACACCACCAAAGGGTGTTTGGAAAACACCACTATCAAATAATAAAAATTAATTTTATTAACAAATTGTGAGCTTATGACAAATGCAGAACATTTCAAGATATGCCGGAATGGGTCTGAAGATCTGAACCACGTCCTCCGAAGTTGCAGAAATGCAGATAGGTGTTGGCACATTGTCATCCCCGAACAGGATTTCCACCAATTTCTAACACTAACCTTTATAGAAATGGTTCATGAGAAAGCTTCGTGGAGATAAAAAGGAACCATTTTGGAATACTTTCTTCGGGATAATCTGCTGGAAACTTTGGAACAGCACTGCCCGGTTACTGAAGCAATTTCCCTGGCCAAGCACACCATTGGGACTTTTGATTCTGAGACTTTCGTACTCGCTAGATAATCGCTTGGATTTCCTGTTGCCCTCTTTTCTAGCCGTATTCTCCGTGTATATTTGAGCAATAAAATCTCTTTCACTCAAACAAAAATATTTTTATAGAAGTCAAAATAATATTTTTCTATGTAGCTATTTCAAACATCCTAAAATCATCTCTGAAAAGGTAATCTAAACATTCCGTACTTCACTTAGTGGTTGATATAATGAGTGAAATTATCTAAAGCAGCCTCTGAGCTCCTTGGAAACCCATTCTGAAACATAGCCCTAAGACCCTCAGCCCTGCTCTTCATATGTTTATCAGTCATCAGCTTCTCTATTCCCTTCACTATATCATGCTTTTTCACCATTTGAGAAAGATCCTCAGAGATCATGTACCCAACCTTGAAATGGCCCACCACCACTTGGCATCATGGTGTTGGTCACCCTAAATGGCCATGCCAAAAATGGGATCCCACGTCCAATAGCCTCCACCGTGGAGTTCCAACCACAATGTGATAAAAATCCACCCGTTGATGGATGACTTAGTATCAACAACTGTGGTGCCCCACCACATATGATCAAACCCCTTTTTCCCACTCTTCTGTCTAGCCCATGAGGAAAATAGCCTTCTTCTTCTTCTTCCACATGTGAACCAGGCTCTTTACCTGCCAACAAGCGTGGAGGACCCGGTTTTCCTGCATTGGGTTGGATCACCCATATGAAAGGTTGGTCTGAAGACTCCAATGCTTCAGCTAATTGTGGGTATTCTTCCATTGTTGGACTCACTTCACTTCCAAATGATACATACAGAACTGAACCATGCGGCTTTGAATCTAACCACTGGATCACTTCCTCCTCGGTAGCATTGGACCGCCGGTTCGTTCGAACCAACTGGTCGTGAACGAGAGAACCTGCGGATTTCCAATATTGCTCAGGCAGGAGCGGGCCTACACCCCAAACCGCTTTTCCGGTTTGTTTCGCAATGTATTCAATGAATGGACGCTCCAGATCGTCACACGTGTTGATCATCATCGCGTTTGTTTTTCTTGCATCTTCTAGCCAAGGTGGTTGGTCACCGGGTTTAGGCGGTCCCCTCATTCGCGGCCCTGCTCCGATGTCCGGTGGTGGTCCACCATCGTCTGGTGGTGGAGGGCCGTGTGGCCGTCGTTTGAGATCCGAGGAGGCCAGCGCAACATCATCTGGTAATCCGGGTAGCAATCGGATTTCGCCGGGTTTGATATCTTCGGGGTTGGCTTTCCAAATGGCATATTCTAATGCGGCGGAGCAAGCACCGGAGGTAAAGAACGCTACTGTGGGCACTTGAAATTTTTGGAAAGAATCAGACAACCAGTTCATCATGACGTCAAGGATGGCACAAATGGGTCGGGGTGGATTGGGATTATCGGGTCCGACTGAGAGGAGCTTCTCGATCCCTAGAGCTAGCTGGGCGTGAATTCTACGGTGCGCGTGAAGTGGGGGCGACTGTGACCCTGGTTCGGACGGAGGCATAAGGGACGATGGGACTTCATGGATTTGGACTAAAGGGTAGTCGCGGAGAGAGGATGGTATAGAGGAGGCGAGGTGGGACGCAATGACGAGGGATGCCTTGAAATTTCTAGAAGCTATGCGTTTGCATAGCTCAATGCAAGGAAAAAGATGACCTTGCCCGAAGAAGGGCACCACGAAAATCTCAGCTGACATGGTCCTGTGAGTTTCCACTATCAACTTCACGCATAATTTGAAATTCCCATTCGGTCTTTTCAGATTTTATAGGAAGAACGAAAACTTGGAGAGCAAGGAAATGTGATTGCAACAACTTGGCAGTTTCCGACCATAAATGAGTTTGGGTTAGAGCAGTGTGAATGATTTGAAAGAGAGGAGCTGGAATAAATGATGGTGACCATTCATCACCAAAACGAGCACGAGGGTTCCTTCGCGGGATTAACAATAGGCAGGGAGGTCGGTCCATTTTCATTGGTCGATCATAGACACTTTTATGTTACGTGTTTCTCTTGCCTTTTACTGGTCAACAGCCTGTTGTCGCTAAATAACCTACGATTCTAGATGGAAGATGGGGCCATGCCACTAAAAGCTCTCCGTGGTCCCTATAGTGGCCACTGGGCATCATTCTTAGATTTATTGAAATTCAAACAGTTCCCACCTGACCGACGTAAGCAGCGATCCACTTGATTTGTAGTCTGTATGTATTACGCTTTTCTTTGGTTTCACGAAGTATAATACACAGTTCTGCTCCATTATATTTCACGAACTTATGGGATTATATTAGGCTTCCCTGATATGCCTTCGTCTATAATGTTCTTTTTGTGACCTTATATTATGCAATCTTTATGAAAAGTTCTAATAAGGATCTATGAACTACATTTCGTTCATAAAAAGAGAGTTATTTAGGGGGAAGTTGAGTACTTCCAGATTTTCGTACAGATGAGCCCACATCTCTGCTGAATGATGTAAGCGATATCTCTTTGAGTTTTGTTGGCTCTACAATGGGCGGAGGGTGTCTCCATTTCCTTTATGAACCATTTCCCTCCATTTCCCTTAAACGGTACCGTTTCTTTTTAGTTATGTTCCCACCCAATAAAAAAATTGCATAGTCACTTTTGCCCTTTTACCCACACCCCCCCTCCTTCTTTCTTCAAACGATTTCCGTGCTCACTCTTCGGTCTCGTGTGTGGGTGTTTTTTACCAATTGCTTATGGATCTTGTGGTGGGTGATGGTTTCTCTTAAAATCCTGTAAATTCAGGGATGATGAAGAGACGCGAACAAAGAAGAGGTACTCTTTTCAAAATTACTTCACACAAAGCTTGAGTTTTTCCTTGCGTTTTTGTCTGTATTGGGTCGAATTATATTTTTCCCTCACTAGGTATTCTCAAATATTCTCTTCAGCCGACACATTAATTGGGTTAATTGAAAGCCATACTTGATTTCTCCTTGCTGTTGCATATAATTTTACTGCTATCAAGTTTATGTGGGCGAGCAATGTTAATGGCTTGTTCAAAACTTGTCAAGGGATGTGTCCTTCCTATGAAGATTCAATGAGACCGGGTAGTTAATTGAAGTATTAAGTCAGCTTAATTCTACATTTGATTATGTGCTAAATCTTTAGTTTCCTTGTAAATTAGTGGGACAGATATTAATTTGGTCTTCAAGGTAATAAATTACAAAAGTGTCAAGTAGCTAAGGGATCATGGAACTCATTACTGGAATTAATTTAGCCCCAGAAAAACATTTCATTATCTATCAGATTCTAATTGTAAGTTTGTGGGCAACTCATTAGGGATGGGTGGAGCTGTGGTGGCCAACTATAGTGACAAGAGTGTTTACTTTGATTCTATCATATTCAATCTTTCTATCTTAAGATGCTTTATATGATTCAATATTGTTACGAAAAGCAAGGGAGACATTTTCCCCCTACTAATTGATGACTTGTTTAATTGTTAAATCTGATTTAGAATTATTTTCTTTTGAAATTAAGAAAATGAATCATGCCTGTGCCCTGTGACGTGTTGGCATTTTTTATATCCAAATTATGTTGGCATTTTGAGTTTGCAATATATTGAGAGAACTTATAAGGACTTATTGACATCCTGCGTTCTCTTCTTTGTGATAGCGTGAACATCACAGTTGGAAATATATAAGGATCATCTTTAACACTTTTGCCTGAATATATTATGGTAGATAATGAAAATAACCATTCAATGTTAAACTTTATAATTGCAGTTGAAAAAGAAAATAGTAGCTGAAATCAATCACTATGTTGTCACCAATATGGGCTACATGATCAAAAAGAGAGCAGCTCAAATACAATAAATGCCATACAGTCATCTTAAGAGCTACCGTAACAAGGAAGAGAAAAGCCCAAGGAGCTGAATTGAAGCCGTTGTCTGGAACGATAAGAGCTTAATTGGATGACTTCATTTAGGATGATCTAAGTTCCTTTGTAAACCTATATCTGTAACATATTGTAAGATAGTTTATATGCAGACAATGTAATATAATTCTATTGTAATAGAAGTTTCTTTATTTGAATAAAATTGTCTCAATCTTTTCAATATATTTTCATGTTGTGATATGATTTACCTTTTGTAAATACTTGACTAAATTCTAAGGCTTCAAGTGACTTCACTTCATGGTCCAATGGAGCCTACAAGCATAAAAAAATGAAATGAAATAGAATAAACTACTCAAGAACTTGAAATAGAATAGTCTCACCATCATCAATGATGTGAATGGCATTTGACTTAGTTCATGTATATTTGAGATCAAGGGACCGTGTTGCATTGGTGTTGATGTATTTGATATAGGGAGACCATATTGCATTGGAACTAGTGAAGATGACACATGAGGACCATATTGTAGTGGCACTGGTGTAGTTGAGACAGGGGGACCATATTGCATTGGCATTGGAGTATTTGACATAGCAGAACCATATTGCATTGAAACTGGTGTAGTTGATATAGGAGGGCCATATTGCATAGTCACAAGTGTATTTGACACAGGCAGACTATGATGTACCTGAGTTGACTTTTGGGTTTCCTGTAATGATATAAATAAAATCTCAATAAAAACCATGATGACATTTAAAAAAAATCAATATAAATAATTTTTACCTTCAAACTTTGCGAAGGCTTGTGAGCAGCTTTTTTTGAATTTTTAACTTTTCTTCTTTTCTGATTAGGGTTGTCAACCCAACTTTTATCAATCTTCTTGCGTTCTCTTTTTTTGAATCCAATGCCTTCACCATAATTTTTTCCATCATCATCATTATTAACGCCAGCTTCATTATCAACACCATCTAATGAATTTTTAGTAAGAAGTTTAGACACTTTTTTACCAAGTTCTAGCACCATTTGATGAACCATAGAGAATGCCTCTGGACATTCAGATGCTTCACTGGCTAATTTTATGATCATTGGACACAATTGCCTATATCGATTTGAACATTCTAGTTTAGGATCAACCTCAATTTCCTTTCCCTTGCTATCATGTACCACACCACACCTTGCTTCTCTTGTCCACCTATTTAAAATATATTTATGTGGAAGTAACTTTACATCTCGATCATACAATATCCTCAATGCATGACAACATAATATTCCCCATTGTTCAAACTTCTTACAGCTACAAGTAATGTTAGACTCCTTGTCTTCTCTTGCTGGCTCATATGTCAATCTCCACTCTCCTTTTTTATCAACTCTTGTGATTACATATTCAAATACAATGGCATCATCATCTTCATTTATCTTTCTTTCCTTGCTCTCTTTTATACATGTAGCATCACGCAAGTCATACTCTTGCTGGAACAAGTCAAAAATTGGTGGAGTGTAAATTTCAGAAAGCTGTTGAAGCATAGATGAACTCTTTAAAATCAACCTCGGCAACTTCTGCCGTGAGTTAAAATCACTCTTTAATTCATTATATCGTTTATCTACAACAACCTGTTCAAAGATTTCAAAGAATTGATTGATATTCAATTCAGGATTTGTACAACTTTTTATGAAAGAATTAATACTTTCACTAAGCTGTGTGCTTCTCATACCAAGAGTCTTTGAATCCTTCATGTAACATGCTGCCCATTTTTCTTTCAACTCATAAATGGACATCAACCAAGGATTATCTACTGCATTGTACTTCAACAATAATTCTTTCCAAGATTCCTCAAACACTATTTTTTCTTCACAATGATACATGCACCAATTAAACTTACCCAAAAAATGAGAGTCATCCTTCATCAAGTTTCCAAGATGTTTCACCGCATTTCTATTAATATGAAAAGTGCACAAGCCATGCTTCACGGTTGGCATTACTTCTTCCAAGTCTCGTGCCATTGCAGCATCTTGGTCAGTAAATACAGTAAATGGCAATTTTTCCTTATGTGCTTGTAGAAAAGTTTCAAAAAGCCATTTAAAAGATTCAATGGTCTCATCATACAATAACGCAGCACCAAATATCACTACTTCTCTATAATAATTGAAACCTGAGAAAATGGCAAGCGGTCTATTTTCACGATTGGTGGAGTATGTTGTATCAAATGAAATGACATCCCCAAAACAATCATAATCTAATAACATACGTGGATCAGCCCAAAATACATTAGTTATTCGATCTTCTGAGTCCACTTGATAGGCATGAAAATATGAAGGATTTTCTGTTAGTTGATGTTGGAAATAACGAAGTAGACACCCAGCTTCACCATAGCACATTTTTCGTTGTCTCCTTGCTCTTAGATAACTCTTTATATCCTCTTCAGTATATCCTAAATTAGCCCTCCCTCCTGCATATTTACTCATTAAATTAAAAGAGGCTTTTTGCTTAATCCCGACGTCTTCAGCAGCTTCTAAAGCATAACCTTGTGCTTCTGGTAATTTCCTCTGTGATGCAAACATGTGAACAGTTTCTTGAGGCTCTAAAGGATGATTATGATCCAAATAAAGTTCACTAACTCTAAATCTTCCATTCACTTTTTTAACTATCATTCTGACTTCACACCCAGTTCTTGTTTCCTGTCGAGGCTTCCTAATTTTGAAATCTCTTTTATCTGGTTTTCTCACTCCCTCCTTGTGACAAACATATTTATAATATATGATAGAACCATCTTTCTTGCTTTTATTGGAGTTTTCCTTTCTAACACCAAATCCCATTCTTTTGCCATAGCCAACCCAATACTGCCATGCCTCTTCTAAATTATCAAATTCAAGATCAAGTGTGGGAGTCATATTTGTATTCATTATTTAGGACAAAGTGAGAATCTGGAAAAAAAAAAAAAGGCACTCGAATATATGAGTACGCAGACGAAAAACGAGCAACAAAAATATTAAACTTGTTACACTCACCAATGCCGCCAAACCAATGCCAAATCCAACGATACCCTTTGTGCAATAAGGCTTATATATTTTTTTAAACTTGCTGCATCAAGTAGATATTGAATTAGTAACGAATTAAAAAGAACTGATAGAAAAAAAGAAGAAGACGACACTTGCAGATGAATACGAACCTTATAGCACAACGGAGAATTAAAAACCTTATTTTCGATTATTAGATTCCTATTGCAACGATTGTTTGAGTATTAAAATCCTATTGCGGTGCCTATTTCACGAATTCCCGCACTTTTGGGAGAAAAACAGAGGAGGGCGCTATTTGTTCTTTAATTTCGGGTGGGGACATTAGTGAAAAATTGAACGACACCGTTTAAGGGAAATGGAGGGAAATGGTTCGTAAAAGAAATGGAGACACCCTTGGCCCCTCTACAATGGCTGGATGACCTGCTGCATTAGATTTGATATTTGTACAGATGGGGGGCGGATTCAAAAAACAAAAATTCCTTTCTTTCCTACGATGAAACAATATTTCTATTACCTTATGCAGATTCGATGTATTTTAAAAGTAATTTTATAATATATAAAATAAATATGCAAGAAGAATTTTGTCATAATTTATGTGAAAGTACTTTTTAAATGTATTTTTTGGATATACCAAACTCCCCATTAATGTAATACTTTCCTCGATAAAAAAAAAGCTTTAGAATAATAAAATGAAAAATTAAAAGAGTCCATTTTCATCATTCATTATAAAGCTAGCTGCATCTGAAAAAAAAAAATTCCCTCTCTTTCGTAAAATTCTGTATCCTAGCAAGACCCGATGGACAGCTACAGGAAATTGATCAGATTTGCATCTAAACGCTATTTTTAGTCAACCTTCAGTCAAAATTTGTGAATATGCTAGGTTCTGGTAATTTCCGCACACGCCCTCAACTTTTGATTAAAAAAGAAAAAAGAAAAAAGGATATCTATGAACTACAACACATTGCAAGACATATCCGTTTGTCACCCTTCTCATCAGATGCTGTCAAACAAGATGCCAGTTTTAATTCCTTCTTTACAGATTTCTTAAATCAATATAAAATGTTGGATTAAGGACTTCTCGAAGCAGTTAGAGACTTTTGGTCTAAGTTTACCTTTAAGCACATATACTTTATTTATAACACCATTGTATTGTATTATATTAACACCGTGAATTGGTTCTCACATTCAAGAAACATGAATTGGGTTGAAATCCGCTCAATTGGGTTTAAGATGGATGCTTTCAGGTGTCTTATTTGTTTTCAGAGCTTTGATTATTTCGTTTTGGTCATAACTATCACTGATAACAACAAATCGAAATCTACAACTTTTAGACCAAGAAGATACAGAAAAAGTATGTTCACAACATGAAACAGGTTTTATAAGAACTTAAAGAACCGACCACAACGTCTCCAATCTCGGACTGCTTTCATGGTCCACTAACTCAACATGAGTCCCTATTAGACTCATAGTTCTGGCCAATTAATATTGAGAAAGTACTTGGTAAAAACATATTACCAGGCGTCAACAAGCCGTGAGAACTCAATTAAGAGAACTTTTACAGGAAAATGAAGAACATCAAATTGCGGTAGGAAGCTCAATAAACTCAAATCATGTCACATCTGATACAGGGTCAACAGAAAGAAAAAGTAATAGCAGTTTCTAAGGATCCATATAGTAAAAGAAGTCAATTAAAAAAAATAAAAGAAGTTAATACCCCATTTTTCTTAGCTTATGATCCATATTGGCTATATTATGTGCATACAGAATAATGCATGGCTTGAAGATGAAGTCAAAAACTCAAAAATAGATTATCTAATGAGACTCTGTTGACAAGGCTGTGAGTAGATTTCAGTCCACCAAGAAGATGAGAGGACCATTGAAATCGTGTAACAAGGCACGTATCGTTGGAGTGGAACAAGATTCCAAAAGTGAATTGGATCCTTCAAAAAATTTCCAGCAATCTATTCGCGCCTCTTGGTCTTGGGGGGTCTAGCTTTGGGATAAAACTTAACACAAGGGATGTGTGCTATCTTGTGCCAATATTCTCCTGTTTCCTTCTTATATCTCCTCTGTAGTTCAGGGCAATCCGCTATAGCCAAACTCTTCAAATTGGGGAGGCTTTGAATGCTCATGGGAAGGGAAGGCAAATTTGGACAATCTTCAACAAGTAACATTTCCAGAGAAGCAAGGCCCTCCAACTCATTAGGCAGGGATGCAAGATTTCGCAAACTCTTTAACTTCAACTCCAGCAAGTTGGCGAGTCGTTGAATACTTGCAGGAAGAGATAGCAACTTTGGGCAGTGACTAACCTCTAAGGTTCGAAGAGATACAAGGTTTCCCAATTCAGGTAAAGATGCCAAATTTTGAAGTGCACTTATCTTGAGATATTGCAGTGAAGAAATGTGTCCTAATGGCTCTGGTAATGTTTCCAACTTAACAGGAATCATAGCGCCCATGGCTCCACCCACATAGGAAGTTATGACTAAACGTTGTAAAGATGTAAGGTGAATGATACCATTTGGCAATGCTGCTAGTTCCCTACATTCTATGATTTCCAAAGTTTCTAGCGAAGAAAGGTCCTCAAAACCTTCCCACAAAGACTTCAGCTTCTGGCAAGAATCAATCTTGATTGCTCGGAGACAGTGCAGACCTTCTAACATTTGCCCTGGAAATGATTCCAGTTCAGAGCAGTAAGTGATGTTTAACTGCTCTAAATCTCTAAGGCCTCTCAACATCCTCGGTGGGAATGTGGTCAGTTCTTGGGAAGCAGAAATTTGAAGGAATCTTAGATTGTAGAGATTGTAGATTGAGCTCAAAGACACTTCCTTGCAGTCAATTAGAACTAGATCTTTGACAGATGGAAGAACAGGCAAGGCCAACTTGGGGCACCGAGAAATGAACATCCTAGAAAGACATGGAAAATTCCCTCCTATGTTATCTTCGCACAGATATTCCAAGTTTACTAGATCACAGAGCTCAAGACTTTCAAGTGATGGGAAAGCCTTTACTCTGTTGTTGGTTTCATTGTTGATGCATGGAATCCGATACATACCAGATAATCTTAGATGCTTCAGAGATGGGAGTTTCCCCAGTCGTGGGAGTTCTAGACAGTTATGGCAACTTACAAGGTTCATTGAAAACAAGTGTTCAAAACTAGGGTTACTCATCCATTGTGCCATATAGGCACCTCTATATCCCTCTACATGCAGACTTGAGAGTTTTGCATGTGGTTCAAGGGCTTCAAGCATCTGCTCAGCATTTTCTTTCGTGCTTGATTCAATGTTGGCATCCCATGACAAAGATAACTCTTTCAGCTTCTTGCTTACCAAATTTGCTTCTTTGGCATCTATTACTCTTCTGATTCTCTCCAAATGCTCTATAGTTAGATTATTTTGCAGGTTCAAGCGCCCTAGTTCACTGATTTGAAGGCCTGGGTCTTTGCCAACAATGTAGCGAGTCAAGATCCTCAGAGAAGTTAATTGACCAATACCAGGGGGCATGCTAGTTAACGAACTGCAGCCATCTAACATTAATTCTTGTAGACCTTTAAGGTGATTCATGCGTTTAGGCAACTTCCTGAGATTCCAACAATAACTCAAAATCAAAACCTGCAGATTCCACAAACTGCAAATTGACTTGGGGAGTTTTTTTATTTGAGTACCACTCAAGTTCAGATACCTCAGATGCTTCAAATTCCCTATTGAAGATGGCAAATCTGTTATTGTCTCACTGCCACTCTCATGAAGGGCTCTCAAAGAAGTACATTTCATCAGTAGGGAGACAGAAGAAACTGCATTTGATACATGCAAGCTGGTGCGCAAAGATTTGGGTATTTCTGACAAACCAAAATGAGATCTTCTCAGTCGATAGATAGGAGCAGAGAGATGGCGAGTTTTTTCTGACAAATCACCAGAGCATGTGTTGTCCAGAATATGACATTCTTCTCTCATGACTGATTGGGCAAGATCATGAACCAGATCATGCATCTTGAAACTTGCAACGATACCAAATTCATCTGTCTGAATATCTTGGAAAAATGATCTCCAATACAATTCTTTCCACATCTCATTGCCCACATCTTCTACATCCAACTTTCCGTGGGGTGTTATGAACCCATTAGCCAACCAAAGTTGAATTAGCAAATGCTTATTAATTTCTTTACCTTTGGGGAAAATGGCGCAATAGGCAAAGCAAGGTCTTACTTTGAATGGCAAGTTCCAATAGCTTAATCTCAAGGCGGATAAGATGGAGTTTTCATCCTGCGGCAGATTCCACAATTTGCTTTCCTTGACATTGAGCCACACGATCTCCTCCCTTGTGAAGCGTAAGAGGCCTCCTAATGCTTTTGCAGCAAGAGGCACGCCACCACACTTTTTCACTATCTCCTTTCCTATGTCCGCTAGCTGTGCATGTTCTTTCTTGTCTGGTCCAAAGGCACGTTGCTTGAACAATTCCCAGCAATCATCAATGGATAAACCAGATAACTGATGAGAAGTCTGGGTTTCCATGATGGATGCTACCCTTGCTAGCCGAGTTGTGACAATAATGGAGGAACCTCTTGATCCACAAGACAGGACGCATTTCAGCCTATCCCATTTCTCTGGGTCATCATTCCACACATCATCCAAAACAATTAAGTATCTTTTTCTTTGAAGAGTCTCTTGAATTTTTCTCTGCAGGGGATCTAAATCCAGCGACTCACAGCTATGCCCAATGGCTGATTCCATGATAGCTTTTAACATTTTCTTAACATCAAAATTCTGTGAAACGCATACCCAGATCTTCAACTGAAAATGTTTCGTTACCTTCTCATCATTGAACCCAAGTTGTGCCAGAGTTGTTTTTCCCAGTCCACCCATCCCAACTATGGGATACACTGATAAACCATCAAAGCTTGAGGCCTGACTGACCAAAAAATCCACAACTCTTTCCTTATCTCCTTCTCTTCCATAGAGCTGAGGTTGAGAAATAACTGGACCGGTTTGACGCCATTCCATCACTTCATTTTTCCTCTGGATAACTGTCTCACACAAATGAAACTTGCGCTTTTCATCAGCAATTTCATCCAACAACACCCTCATATTTTTCATTTTCCTAGCAATTTTGTAGCGGAAAAGAATGCTCACTGGATGCAATGAGGATAAGAAAGAATGTCTTACCCTGTTTGTTGATCTACAATTTTGTCTTTCATACTGAAATCGAAGTCCTTCTGTTGCACACTCGTCCAATATGTCATCAAGAAAGTGAGCTGCATTTTTCAGCTTTTGCAGCCAATTTCTTATAGCCTTGTCAGTGACTTGCTTTTCCTCGGCATCTTCAAGCACAGCCCAGATTGTTGAAAGTGTGCCACTGAGTCTTCTCATCTCTTGATTGACACCCAGAAATAAGCCAAGCTCATTCTCAAGGAATTTGCTCAAATTCTCAAGCACAACCTCCAGGATAGCCTCAGCCATGTGTTCTTGTGTTGAAGGAAACAAATGAAGTTCAGTTCTTCTCCATGTGATTTAATCGGTTAATGATAGAGCTCTTGGTCTTCAAGTTGGACTTAATAGTTATAAAGAAGATAATTGACTCCTACTTCTTGGACCTAAAATTGTTATTGAACAAGGAATAGGTACGACTGACTTCTATGAGATTTAGTTGTCACTAGGATGATGTAGAGAGGAAAAACAAATTACGTACCCAGCAGGGCAGATGCCACAGAAGAATACTTTTTTTTTCCCACCAAAAAAAACTCTGGAAAGTCAAGTATCTTATCAGGTAAACAAACATAATCAATATATTGATAAAAAAATATAAAATCCATAAAAATTACACTACTCACAGATAATAAATAATGTGGTTTTTTAAGATTTTAACGAAGTTAAAAATTAAATATATTTATCAAATTGCCCCTTTTTTAAGAAAATTTTCCTTTCTTCATAATGGTTGCTGGTGTCAATGTTAGCGGCCATTGAAGGTCCATCATCGGGGTTGGAACGACTAGCGGCATCCGCAAGGACAATGGTATTACGCCTTGAATTTGAATCCATGAACATGGTTTTGTTGAAAAAGTTTGAAACCATTGGGTCTGATTTATTTGACCAGTAATAGTTAAGTTGACTTTTCCGAGTAGTAGGTAGACTGTTCTCGAATCCCTTTTCCTTTTAAAAACTCTAGAAAGCCCCAGATCCTACTAGCACTTACAGCTCGGGGGGGAAAAAAGGAAATATCACAATATAAGCTCATGAGAAACTATCCTCCTTTTTCTTGGTGAATTAAAATTGGTGCACCTTAATGAAAGTAAAAGAAACAGTTAGGACGAAAGCAATCAAGTGTTTCACATAGAGATAATACATTAAAAAAGTGTATAGATAAAATCAAACTATGATTTGGAGAATAGTTTTTGAGAAAAAAGTTATTTTTAAAAATAGATTTTGTGAAAAAGTAATTTTGATAAAGTGAGAGTATTTGAATAGTTGTTATCAAAAACACTTATATATATATAAATTACTAAAAAGGATATAGGTTAATATGATAATTACATAAAAGATAGATTTTATAATATATTTTTATTTGAAGTAATAAATTTGTTAATAATATATTTTTTGCTAACATAATAAATAATATATAAAAAACATAATTAATAAAAAATTAGTATGTATATATGTATTTATAAAATATAAGATTAAATATTTTTTTAAAAAATGATTATTTTTTTGCCAACAAAAAAATATTATTTTACAGATTTTAAATATGAAATCCCATTATATTTTTTGACAACTAGTTTTTTTTTAACAACATACTAACTCCGATCTTTAATATAAAAGCTATTTTATATTTAATTTGGTATTAAATATAAAACTCCAATCCATTTTATTTATTATATTTATCTATTTTTTTAAAGTAGTCCCTGTAATAGTTACATATGTTAAATATTTTATCAAATGATACTTCTAGCAAATACACATGATTAGAAAGGATATTTTAGAAAAGACAACACATATTTATTACCAATAGCTAACTTAACTAATTTTCTTAATCTTTCAAATTAGTCAACTAGCTCTTATATTGAGGATTGGAGATAGTATTACAATGTAAAAAAAAAAAGAACCACATTTTCAAGAAGCAATTTTTTTTGCTTTTCATAAAACCATGGTTTTGGAGGCCAAAACTTTAGTTTTGGACCAAATTAGGTGTTTGGGTAAAAGTAAAACTATGAATTTAAAAGTGCTTTTACGGAATACGAAATAAATATGTAGAGAAATTTATCTTAATTTGAGGAAAAATACTTTTCAGAAACACTTTTTAGCTTATCCCAAACACCTTTTAAGGTTTTCTGAAAAACATACTTCTTTGGGTAATCTCTGGCCAAAGCTATGATTAGGGTAGAAAAGCATTTTTTTTTTTTAATTGCCAAACATTACACTTCAGATGTGCTAAAATAAAAATATATTTTGATGTGCATCATGTGAAAAAGCAGAGATCATTCAGGTGGAGAAGACATCATTTTACGTACGAAAAAATATTTACAAAGATTTGCCTTTACTTAGTCAAGGATCTTACCAGAACACACAAGTGGTAAAATATCACAAGTAAATGTTGAAAAACAACCCATTTTGGTGTATATAAATGAAGCAGGAAGGAAGAAAGTAAAAATCTATTTCTTTGTTTTTTTTCTTGGGTTGAGATGTTTCCAATATTTCGAAATATTTTCTTATGTGCATTCAGTATTGAAGTATTTTGTGGTGCATTTAGTTTTTTATTTGTCTTGGTATTGGATGCACTAAAAAGTATTTTTGGCTAATAGGTGCACTAAAAAAAATTTTAGGATGCTTGATGCACACAAAAAAACATCTCAAGATGCTGGACGTACTAAAAAAAAACACTTCAGGACACTGGATGCGTTGAAAAAAATACTTTGAGATGCATCTTAACATTCTTTTTTTCATTTTTTCTAAACAAAAATCTATTTCTTATAAGCTCGTGCAACATAGAAAAAAGTTAGAGAGGTGGGAGAAATGAGACATAGGGAAGAGACCAAATGGATCCGAGCTCCAATCTAAACCTTTAATCTAGAACGTATGGAAATATAATTTCAACATGTGACTCGTTGAAAAAACACAGAGCATTAAAATATATTTTATGTAGGAAAAAGTTATTACAACGGCTTCTTTGCCTTGCATTTGCAACAGTCAGGGATGAAAATAACTTCCGCTTTGCTTATTTGCACAACCTTTATTGAACTCGATCCATTCTGTTCAGGGAAACGAACCAACTATGGAACTTGGTAAAAACATAAAAACCTTCTACACATAGCGTTTCATGTATTGTTCAACCGTTGTGTAGTTAATTTCAGGGTAAAGTTGGCATGCTTCAACTCCTTCTTCTCCCACCTCGAAATTCGTAAGACATCCTTCAAAGCAAACATGGTAGTAATGTATCAGTCCCACCTGTTCTGTATATGCTTGCCCTGTAACCACCAGAAAATGAGCACACAATAAGAACATATAACCAAGTTTTCCACTCTCACTACAAGAACTGATGAAAAATGGCAAGAACTTTTTAGTACAAAAGGTGTTTAATCGAAATTGAAGAATTCAACTGCTTGGATGGCACTCTTTGCAGATGCCAACTCTGCTGCCATTTGTTAATGAACTGATACTGATCTCACCTTCCAAGGAAGCCAGAAACTGTTGTTCAGAAATTGAAGACTTCTTCAACTCTTTCCCAATGAGCTTCTCCCAGATTTGGACAACTTCTCTCTGGGACAAGATGTTCTTGGGTGGCCTGATGTAAACTGTCTTGTTTAGAGTCCTGGGGTCATCTATGGTTTTGACAGTGTACCTCGCTATATCATCCTCATCCACATAAATTGCTGCCAAATTGGAATAAGCATAGTTACAGACAAGTCCATGCGTGTTGATAGAGTGAATCAATAAAAGGCTCAAAAGTAAGTATTGTATTTTACCCTTTGTGTTGCCATCTCCAAATAGGACCACAGAATCCTTGGAGGGTAGGATGAAACCAGGCTGACACAGACCACCGAGAAAATAACCAGCAAAACAGTTAGCAGAAACATAGGTGAAGGGTATGTTGGCCTCTTCAATGGCTTTCCTCACTACCATTTTGTCGTCAAATGTTACTCTTCCAGGCTCCAATGCATGTGCCATTCTTGCAGGATCCGTCCCAAATTCAGATGGCAAAAACCTCTGTACAAATCAGTAGCACTTCGTGATCTGAAAAACTACAGGGCAATTTTATGAACATTACATGCATATGTAGCCAACTTCATCTCTTACCTTACTGAGATGTTTCATTCTGACTAAAACTAAGAACTCATAAAAAGGGCCAAGCTAGTTTAGTTAGTGAAATCTCAAGTTCCTTGAGACCTGAGGCACGTAGACACATACGCGACACAAAATCTTGGTATTATTCTAGTAATTAGTACCTTGATATTTCCAGCTTCTTTAATGGCATCAATGAGCTTGAGTTGAAGTAGGATGTGATGACTGCGAATATGGACACCGGATATGGCACAAATGACTACGTCAACAAGCTTTACAGCATTCACAAGGCGTTGGTGGTCATTGAAAGAGCCCGAAATGAGGCGAGCTCCTTGCTCCTTGAATGAAAGAAGAAGCTGGACCTTCTCAATGTCCACCCCTATCTCTGGTCTATGAAGAACGTAGGTTTGGTGTCCTTCTTCTAAGCTTGCCTTCACCAACCTCTTCCCCAAGTACCCAGTTCCCCCAACAATCAGCACTTTGCTCTTTTCCATGTCTCTCTTCTCTCTCTCTCTCTCTCTCTCTGTGTGTACTATTCTGGTGATCATGTCCTGATGTGTTCTTCTTGACCTATATATACATAGCTAGAAAATCTGAGCTTGATCTTGGTGTCTTGGAGTGTACACATAGGTTGGAAAAACTTCAAAATTTCAACCTTATATATTTCTCATGTTTGGCTTTAGCTTGGCAGATACAATGGTATGTTTTTGCTTTGTCTTTAGGTAAAGGCATGTGTTTGAAGAGCAAGGCGCCATTTAGAAGAACAAGGGCCCCTACATCAGCTAATGCCCAAAAGTCATAATACCATTTAGAGGAGAGGAAAAATTGGTGTATTAAAGCGGTTATGTCGCCACCTTTTGAACTCAACAGCTACAATCCTGCGGAGTAAGATCTCACGTGTCAGAGACTTAAATGAGCAGAATCAGTTGAATTAAAGGGAAAATTAAACAAACCATCTTAAATTTGGGCGGTTGCTATGGACCATCTTTTTTAAGATTGCAACTTTATCATATGTATGTGTTCATGAAAATCAGAACTTTTTCTGCTCTTTTAGGCGCCATAATCTGTTACAGAAATATTTGGCATTGTATTGATCAAGAATACATTATTTGAGATGAGATCTAATTACTATAGGAGGATATGATATAATCTGACTTGATGAGTAAAATATAAAGCAGAAAAAGCTTAGAGGTGATACGTTGCGTTAAACACTAACAGCACGAAAACCACAAGGCTGGCTTGAAGAGACGTGTAAAAGGAAAGGTACCTGCAAGGTTGGGCCAAGATGAGTTGCGAAAAATGTATTAAATTCAGAAGCTTAATTGAATTAAAGGGCACGTCAGAGAAATATAACCTTGGTTTGGTAGCTTCAATAATGATAATTGAGACAGGAAATAAACTCATTTAGTTTTAACTGGACGAAAACATGTTTCAGTCTTGCCCGGTTACTTACAAAATGTCATTTCTTCAACGGAGTGTGAGACAAGCTAGTTGGTATAAAAAATAATCTTCCTAGTCACATCAAAATCTTTGACTTGTACGTTTTTCCCATTGCTAAACTTGCTGGGCACATACGAGTTTCATATGGGATTTGCCTTTAAAATCTGGCTTGTACATAGTCATGTTATTTTAATTTGGTTTATTTTTTCTTATTTTTATCAGTCATATTTGATGCGAGATCTTTTTACCAAAAAATCATATACATATTGACTCACTTTTAAAAGTATTCTTTCTTTATCACACTCATGGTCTATCTTATCTCAAACTGGATTAAGGACTATTTTTAAAACATGTTCACTTAATCATTTTTAATTAATTTTTTAAAATATATGTAAGGTGCTTAATAGATTTTTATAGTACGAACAAGATTTTTTTTTTGGGGGGGTTGGGCCATTGAACCCCAACCAGAGAGTATTTATCATTAGTGATTTTTTTAGAAGAAAAAATGACAAAAAAATACCTCTTGAATTTTAAAATAATAAATAGGTATTTTGACATGCCAAAAATCATTATAAGAATAGTCAGGATGACCTATTTATCTTTTTAAAATTTAAATGGTTTTTTTTTTGTCATTTTCCTTTTTAATAATAGAAATTTGAAAATTTTGTCCTTTGACATGATTCTCTCCCAACCATGTCTTTTTGAAATAATTTTTTTTAAATGTCTGATGGAGCAGCAATGGCCCAGTCTGGCCCTATCTACCCAAAGGGATTGGGTCTGGCCCAAATAAACCAATCCAAAGTGGGTCAACTTGAAGACCCCTTATATTTCTATTGAGAAGAGAACATGTTCTGCGTTAAAGCCTGACAAAGACTAAGGGTGTGTTTGGGTGACACCCCAAACCATAGTTTGGGGTGTCAATCATCCAAACACCTCCTCTAAAAACCAAAACCATGGTTTTGACTCCAAAACCATGGTTTTGGAAAAAGCAAAAATTTTTTGCTTTTTGGAGAAAAAAGGGAGAGTGTGAGAGCCTATATGATATGTATCTTGTTATTTTTTTTATAAACATATTTTTTGATAAACATATTTAATCTTATATTTTATAAATATATATACACATTAATTAATTATTAATTATATTATCTTATGTATTATTAATTATGTTGGTAAAAAATATATTATTAACAATTTTATTCCTTCAAATTAAAATATATCATAAAATCTATTTTTTCTGTAATTATCATATTAACTTATGTCTTTTTTTTAGTAATTTGTATATATAAAAAGTGCTTCTGATAACAACTATCAAAACACTCTCACTTCTCAGAATCACTTTTTTACAAAATCTATTCTTCACAGAATCTATTCTATCCAGAATCTATTCTCCAGAATCACTTTTTTAAACCACGGTTTGGTTTTATCCAAACACACCCTAATTGTCCTTGGTTAATTGGAAAAAACGAAGTGCAGGAAATATATGAGATTGGGTGGAGTCACGTGTTGCGTTGCTTTGCTCTCTCGCATCAAAAGTTAGTCCTCGTTTGATTATTTTCAAGATGGGATATATATAAATATATATTCATTCTAATGACATCCAAAACTTTGACTATTGTTCGTATGGCTGCTTTTGATTTGCCAATCTCTAAAATATCTTCTCCTTATTCTCCAAAAAAAAACCCAACAAGTCATTCAATGTGTGACTGTAGATTAAATTACTAATACTAGCTCCGTCCTTGATATTTAATTTATTTTTAAATATAAGATTTTAATTAACTTTATTTTTTATATTAATTTTTTTTTATAAAATAGTCTTTGTAATAGTTACACATGTAAAAAGTTATATCAAATTATAGTTTTAACTAATACATATAATTAACAATAGTATTTTAGAAAAAAATTTTACTACGAATAAGTAATTTAATTATTTTCTTAATATTTTTAAATTAGTTAATTAAGTCTTATATTAAATACTGGAAGTAATATATAGATAAAACATGAGATGTAAATATACAACTATTTTCTGATTTACAATATCACAATAATAAAAGAAACTGTTAAAATGGATTCTACTAACTTTCATCCTTAATATAAGACCTATGTAATTAATTTGGATAAAATTAAAAACAGTTAAATTAGTTATTTATAAAAAAAAATATTTCTTGATTTTTTTTTAAATATCTTCTTAAATTATTTAGATGAAATTATAAGAAGGACAAAATATATTGAAGTTTTATATTTATAACTAAATTTGACTTCCTAACCCCTATATTACGTACCATAGGTAATATATCGTAAATATATACTACCTCTGGTTCTTAATATAAAATCCCGTTTGACTTTTAATTTGATCCTAATTATAAGACTCTAATATATTTTATCTCTCATATTTATACATTTTTTCCAAGATAATTCTTTTAATAATGATAGTTCTAACCAATACACTTAATTAACAAGGATATTTTAGGAATGACAACACTTATTTATTACAAATAACTAACTTAACTTACTTTTTTAATCTCTTTAAATTAGTAAATTAAATCTTATACTTAGAATTATAATTAGGTTAGAAGGTAGTATTATAATTAAATAAGTTCACCTTTCTCCCTAGAGTGGGAGGTTGGTCCTTCCATTTATATACTACCTCCGGTCCTAATTATAAGATCCAGTTGACTTATTTGAGGAAATTAAGGAAGTAAGTTAAGTTAGTTATTTGTAATAAATAAGTGTTGTCATTCCTAAAATATGCTTGCTAATTAAGTATATTGGCTAGAACTATCATTATTAGAAGGATTATCTTGGAAAAAATACATAAATATGAGAGACAAAATGGATTGGGATCTTATAATTAGGATCAAATAAAAAATCAAATGGAGTCTTATAATAATAACAGGAGATAGTATATAATTATTTAATAGCTAGCTGTTGCAGCGTCCTTTTCGCCGTTCAACTTTGGCTTGCTATAATCACCAGAAGCTCTTCGCTTCAAATAGTCAACATACAGCAGCTTTAGCTCGATATACAAATTATACTCCCAAAGTTGGCTTCACTTGCCTCACCTACTTGCTTCGACCTACCCTTTGTATTTTACTTCTTGCACATCAAAGCTCCAATCAAATTCTATATTCTAAATACAGATCAATCCTCTACTTCCTTCCCTCTCCCCTGTTTATTTATTTTCCGCAAACTCTGTGCCCAACAAGTAAAGAACTTCTCTTGAAGTAGATTGGAACCCCAAGGATCACAGAGCAGAGGGGTCATAAAAATGGCGAAAAGCAAGGTTTTGATTGTGGGTGGAACTGGGTATATTGGGAGGAGGATTGTGAAGGCTTGTCTGGCTCAGGGCCATGAGACTTATATTGTTCAACGACCTGAGTTAGGCCTTCAAATTGAGAAGCTTCAGATGTTGCTCTCCTTTAAGAAGCAAGGTGCTCATCTCGTTCGGGCCTCCTTCTCCGATCACCGGAGCCTCGTTGACGCCGTTAAGCAGGTTGACGTTGTCATCAGCGCCGTCTCCGGCGTTCATTTCCGGAGTCACAGCATTCTGTTGCAGCTCAAGCTTGTCGACGCCATCAAAGAAGCCGGAAATGTTAAGGTATTATTGTTTCTATTATGAGTCTGTGATCCATCTGCTTTTCCTTCCATTCCTTCTTTCATTAACCCTGTCGCGTTGACTTTTAGTCTTTTACCCTGACGACCCGTCTATGCATTGAGACGTAAAGATTAAGTAAATCAACAATGGCGCAAAAACTGAATCCCTTTTTACCAAGTTTTCAAGTATTTCCCACAGTCTTCTTGTGTTCTGCAGAACACATTTGGAGAACAAAATCAGGCAATTTTTTTTATCAGAATGCTAAAAAATATTGTTGTCTTCGTATTTTTGTTTCTTGTAGCGTTTCTTGCCTTCGGAATTTGGACTGGACCCTGCTCGTATGGGACATGCTCTGGAACCAGGAAGAGTGACATTTGATGACAAAATGACAGTGCGAAAAGCAATAGAGGAAGCTAACATCCCTTACACTTACATCTCAGCAAACTTGTTCGCCGGATACTTTGCCGGCAGCCTCTCTCAGATGGGCTCCTTTGTCCCTCCAAGAGACAAGGTCCATCTATTTGGTGATGGCAACCTCAAAGGTAACATACATACTTCAATTCCTTTCATTCACCATCAAACTTTCTAGTATTACGTTTAAGGTTGTCCCCTCTTGTCTTCTGATTGTTTCCTGCACAATCCAACTTAGTTCAACTACAGCAACATCTTGTTTGGTTAATATGAGACTATCTATGGTTACAGCTGTGTTTATGGATGAGGAAGATGTTGCAACATATACCATAAAAGCAATAGACGACCCTAGAACTCTAAACAAAACATTGTATTTAAGGCCACCTGAGAACATTCTTTCCCAAGGAGAGCTTATTGGAATTTGGGAGAAACTCATTGGGAAGGAACTAGAAAAGACGTATATATCTGCAGAAGACTTCCTCACCACCTTGAGAGGTAAGACAAAAAACTGATTCTGCGTTCACATTTGTTAAGCAGTGCTGTCCCCCCCCCCCCCTCTCTCATTGGAATGTGTCTTTCTTATTTGCAGGCATGGATTATAAACTCCAAGTTGGAATTGGACACTTCTATCACATTTTCTATGAGGGATGTTTAACAGATTTTGAAATAGGTGAAGAGGGAGAAGAAGCCTCAAAGCTTTATCCTGAGGTTAATTACACACGCATGGATGAGTACTTAAGGATCTATGTGTAAAATAAATTGATTTCACAGGAGTTCAGTGTAATGAACCATGATTATCAGTTAAAATAAGCTTACTTTGAGGAGAGGTTGGGAGAAAAAAAGCTTTCTCATATATCAGTGTATGAGTGAGCTATAGTACTTTACGTATCATTACCATTTTCTCTTATTGACTTCTTTATATTAATAATAATTAAATACCATTTTCATCTGTGGAGATTAGATTTGGGACTACAACCTCTTCAACTAGAAGCTTTTTTTTTTTTTTCCTTCTCTTGTTCTCTCCCTTTTAAAATTAGACAGAGCAGAGTTGAAATATGTGAGTTGAGCACTTGGCGCTTCTAAATTCTATTTGATGAATTTATATCCGGAGAAACTGAGAAAGGCTCTACAAGGCTCTCTCGTATTGAATACAATACAATTTCTTTAGCCAATATAAGTAACACACAAGTGTTTGAGTATTAACAGCATAGTTTTGTTTTTTAAAGAAAGTGAGTAAATCATTATAGGAAAATTATGCGAGTTGAATTTTATGAATTCCTTAAGCTGCTCTTCATTTCTTTTGAACTTGAATCTAACGTCACTGAGCCTCTCTTTTATTGGGATTTTCTAGTTGGTTTTCATGTTAACTGCTTGGGGGTGGATTTGGTAAGGATCTGATATCCTAGTCACAGACTTTATAAAACAATCATCAAAATACACCGTTATTGCAGATGCAGATTGTTACAACATTTGTTTGAGGCACACAAATTCATAGTCACAACTCAGTTTCGTTCTAGGGCTCTGTAAATCCATTTATAAGCGATGAAGATGGCAAAAACATAAAAGCAATCCAGAGAGCCCATATATCAGAAAAACAAGCAGATAGGACCCCTATAAATGTGACATCACTTGGTGCAAGCTGCTCTTTCCTCAGCTTCTGGAACAGGATAAGGTCATCTTGACTCTTAGAGCATGCCCGTGAGTAGCCAACCCACATACCATAGCATTCCAAGTTGCAATATTTCTTTCAAACACCTTTTGAGCCTTTGTAATCGCTCCACTCTTTGCATACATGTAAACCAATGCTGTACCAAGAATCACTCCCACTTGAATCCCTTTATTCTTCATAAATTCATGAAGTCTTTCCCCCTAACCAACACAGCCTGCTCGTGCACAACAGACAGAACTGAAGCCAATGTCGCACCGTTTGGTTCAAAACCCTGGGCAATCCCAAAAGCCTCGTTTGAACAGTAGCTTTGAGCATATCCACTGATTATAATCCATACCATGGTATTTACAAAATCCTGCCCGTTGATCTTTAATATACGAAATTTTTTACAAAATGTAATAAACATCTACAATTCACTCTAAAAAAAATTAATAAAAAAACCAAGGAGAGTCAAACATTTAAATTATAATGATGACGCATAACATACGAACCCTATATGCTCAGCTTGGTGAGAGTAATAATCACAGACTCTGTTTTAGCCGTCGTACCATTGTAAATGTGGAGTGAGTAGATATCTTCATGTTCTAATGTAGGCACAGGAGGTAGACATGGTGGAGACACATACCCAGACATTACTACTGCCGCAGTGACGGACACAACTTCAGTCCCTTGTTCATTTATTTCCATGAATGATTCTGAAATATGCTGGAAACATATAACTTCTGACCACCAACAGAACTAAACATCCCTTTCCACTTTCCTCCAGAAAATGGCAGTGTTACCCCTCCTCCACTCAGCGTATCAGAAACTTCCACCTCGGAAGAAATATTAAATCTCGTGGTGGCCACATAGATTCTTTAAGGTTTCTGTAACATGTTCTGTACGACGCACTCGATCAGTATCTTTCAATGGAAAACAGAACACCATGTTGAAAAGCTGGTAATTATATTTACTTTGCTTTTTAAATTTGTGAATGACCCATTTCAAATCCTCACTAAATGCATTCCTCTTGGCACTCATGGAGGGATCCGTCTCTAAGTTCTCGTTCTCTTCTTGAGGACGTCTGCATATATGGGGTAGATATGGTTTCCCGTTCCATGCTGCTTTGAAGTGTATAGCATTTGTAATGACGAACTTGACTGAGTTGCTGAGAAACCCCTCAAGAATTAATTTCTTGGGTCGTATGAAGAGGCTGCACAAATTATAACAATATCATGTTGTTCTTAAATATATACAATTTCAGGAGAATCGATGAGATGATTTCTTTTAGGAGACAAAGAGAGGAAGGAGATGCAATAGAACCTAACAGTGCTATGAGTAACATAAAATTTAAAATTGATTTAATTAAAGATATTTAGATTTTGAGTTAAAAAAATTAGCCGGCTCTGAAAGTAGACTGGGTTCAGAGCGGCTGGATAACCAGAGTTGAGAATCTGTTTAAAAGAGGGCTTCAGAGTAAGGGATTGATCAAGCCATAAGGCATTGACGCAACGGATACGAGGGCCCTCGGCGAGATCGTCATAGGGCAAGATGACGGCGGGTCGAGCGGCTAAAGAATTGAGACAATCGACGGTAGGGGAGCCGCTGACGGCGAGAAGCTGACGGCGGGGGGGAAACGCTCAAGCCAGCAGCAACGAGGACGAGCACCACATCGAAGGGCGGGTATGAAACCACCCTGTTTTCACCTATTTCTCCGACCAAAAGATGGCTTCCGAAGATCATCGATTTCGGATGCAACCTGGGACCTCTCTGAGTTTTCCGACCTGCTCTTGTTCCGTAGCAGTAGGAAGCCATTTGGTTTACCAAAACTGGGCAGAAGGAGAAGGAAAGGACACTCCTTTACAGCCATGGAAGGACGGAGGGCCAGTTCCTGGGACGAAGGAGATTTAGCCGTATGATGGAGAGCAGTTCAAACTTGAACTCGTGCTCCTACGTATTTCTTTGGTTTCTTCGAGTTTTTCTCCGTTGTTCGTTTCCAAATACGAAGCTCTTTGATTTCTTGAATAAAAAGAATCTTATGCAGATAATTATAAGAAAATGAGATTGATAAAACAAAATTTAACGCACCATCAGAAAAATGATTACTGTGGAATTAAACTCATTGATGATTGGGTATTTAATATTTGGGTCACCTTTGGAATTTCACCCAATATCTTTGCATTATCATAAGGAAGATTGCATATAAAAGCTGGATACACTTGCCTCTTTCGTGCTTAATAACCTACGCATACTATGACTTTTTATAACATGATCAATTATGAATAATTATATTCCCATAATCTCCTAAAATACATATTTTAAAATTATATTTACCATATATTTTTATAATAAGAAGAAGAGAAGTAATTTATTCAAATTGCATAGAATACATGAGGGGAGATTATTTGATGGAGTATTTGATATAAGTTGGAAGACATGGGAATACAAATTCCTGCATGTGTATATTTTTATCTATTGAGTAAATTATTTAAGTAATTTTGTATAAGAACAGTTGTTAGTGTAGCCTATTTTTTTTTTAAAAAAAATGATTAGGGATTTGCCAAATACAAGCACATGCGGAATTGATATTTCTAAAAATTAGTAAATTTAATTATGTTGGATATGTATTGGTACTTCGAGGAGGGTTTGGAAGAAAAAGAGCTTTTCTCATATCTTAGTGTATCAGTGATCTCTAATCCTTTATATATCATTACCATTTTCTATTATTAACTTCATGATAAAAATACTAATCAAAGACATTTTGGTTTGCAGAAATTAGACTTGGGACTTTAACCCCTTCAACCAGAAGATTTTTTCAAATCCTATTTTCTAATCCATCCCATATTATTTATAAAATCCTGCCCATTGATCTTTAATATACGAAGTTTTTAACAAAATATAATAAACATCTACAATTCACTCTAAAAAAATGTCATCATCTATCTTACTTTAATATCAAGTACTCTTGAAACTATTCACATGTAAAAACTACTAATAAAACATATTAAACAGTAAAGTCATATGATTGATTCTTTGCTATAAATACCAAAACAGGGTCAAACATTGAAATTACAACATGAAACAGAGTTTGCAAGGAAAAAAATAATTAATAATAATAATAATAATAAAAATACTAACAAACTGTTGGTTAATGTGGTAGCAGTCTCACCCTCATAAGAAGAAAAATATAAGTTCGAATTCTAATAAGCATATTTGTTGAAAGGGCTATTCCTTAACCGTTCCAGGCTTGAAAGGGATTAGTTTTAAATTTAATATAACTTGGGGATACTCTTGTTTCATCTCAAAAAAAAACCAAGAAGAATCAAAAATCCAAATTATAATGAGGACGAAGCATAACATACGAAACCTATTTGATAAGACCGCTGAGATCAATAATGACAGACTCTGTTTTAGCCGTAGTACCATCATAAGTGTGGAGTGGGTAGATATATTCATGTCCTAATGTAGGCACAGGAGGTAATAATAGACATGGTGGACGCCCATACGTTACTACTGCCGCAGTGATGGACACAACTTCAGTCCCTTGTTCGTTTGTTTCCATGAATGACTTCTGAAATATGCTGGAAACATATAAATTCTTACCACCTCTGAAACAACTAAACATCCCTCTCCACTTTCCAAAAAACGGCAATGTCACCCCTACTCCCCTCAGCCACTCCTCGGAAGAAATATTAAATTTTGGGGTCTTCTGGTGGTCCCGTAGATTCTTGAAGTTTTCTGTAACACGTTCTACACACTCTCGATCAGTATCTTTAAATGGGTAACAGCTTACTGTGCTGGAACGGTCGTAGTCATATTTACTTTGCTTTTTAAATGGTTGATCAACCATTTTCAAATCCTTCAATGCATTCCCCTTGGCAATTATGGAGGGATCCATCTCTAAGTTCTTGTTCTCTTCTACTATAAGGGGCATATATTTCCATGCTCCTTTGAAGTGTATTGCATTTGTAATGACAAACTTGACTGAGTTGCTGAGAAACTCTTCACGCATAAAGTCTTTAACCAGGCCACTTGTCTCGTTCTCCGCCCAAGAATTAATTTCTTGGGTCGCATGAGGAGGCTGCATAAATAGATACAATTTCAGGATACTAAGAAAATCTCTTTAACAAATGTGTGTTCTAAGAACTACTCTGTGTGTCAGTGTTTATAACCAAATCCAACCAGCTCTTGTACTTAGAAGAGATAATATGAGAAGAGAAACATATGCTCCTCCATGTATCATGCATCAATCAATGTGAGAATTGATGAGATGATTTCTTTTAGGAGACAAGAAGACGGAGAGGAAGTAGATGGAATAGAGCCTAACAATGCTATGAGTAATATAAAATTTAAATTTGATATAATTAAAGATATTTAGATTTCGAGTAGAAAAAAAATGACGAAACATTACTTGGTTCTGAAAGTCCACTGGGTGCAGAGCGGCTCTATAATCAGAGTCGAGAATCTGTTTAAAAGAGGGATTCAAGGTGAGGGATTGATCAAGCCATAAGGCATTGACGCAACGGATACGAGGGACCTCGGCGAGATTGTCATAGGGCAAGATGACGTCGGGTCGAGCGGCTACAGAATTAAGGCGGTCGACGAGATGGGAGTCGACAAAGGCGAGAAGCTGACGGCGGGCGGAAACGCTGGAGCCAGCGGCAAGGAGGCCGAGCACAACATGGAAGGGCGGGTATGAAACCACCCTGTTTTCGCCTGTTTCTCCGGGCAAAAGATGGCGTCCGAAGATCACCGGGGCCAACCTGAGACCTCTCTGAGTTTCCGGATCTCGTCGTGTTCCGCAGAAGTAAGAAGCCGTTTGGTTTGTCAAAACCGAGCAGAAGGAGAAGGAAAGGACACTCCTTCCTGGCCATGGAGTGATGGAGAGCCGCATGATGGAGAGCAGTTCAAACTTGAACTCTTGCTCCTAGGTATTTTTTTTAGTTTTCTTCGAGTTTTGTTGCGTTGTTTTGTTTCCAAATACCAAAACATTAACACTATTTCAACCGATGGAAATTGAATTTAATATTGAAGGAGTTTCGTAACCAAAAAGGAAAAAAGAAAAGAAATAATGAACGATGCTCTTTAATTTCTTGAATCAAAAAATCTTAGGGAAAATGACAGATAAAGAAGGCTGAAATAATAAAATGCCAAAATGGGAAGCTAAGCAAATGTATTACCAGATAGGGAAGTGTTGCCTGATTTGGGATTATGCAAATGTTGCACAATTACGAAACAGCCCCTCATATGCAAACCGAAAAAGTGACCGGTGGAAGTGTGCAAGTTGTGGCGAGAGCTGGAGGAAAAAGTTGGGAGGGACCACGAACGTGGGAGCATGAACGCGCGAAGCAACAACTGAACGACGGAAGCGAGGTTAGTATCCAGTGACTATATTGTTCGCCTCTGTCTTTTGTCCCTCTCCTTTATGCGCCGGTTGATTTTCCTCTTCCCGTTGGATGGCAATGTCGTCGATGTGGGGATGGTTTTGAGGTGGAGAGGGTGGCGAAGCATGGAGACGGCGTGGGTATATAGAAAGTGTGGGGGGAAGGACGGTGATCAGAGGGTGAATGCACGGGGAAGGAAAAACACTGAGGGAGAGGGGTTTGATGGCGTCACAAGTGGGTTAGAGTGATTAGTGTCAGATAAATGGACAATGTTGGAGGGAGATTCGAATAATGAAGTGGATTGATTCTGAGAAAATGAAGCATTAGTGTGGACAGGAAAGAAATGATTGTTTTGTTGCAAATTATAAGCATGAATGTGTCAAACCCTAAGTTGGTCGTGTAAGTTGATGATGATGGTATTAAGTCATATAATCATTCGACTTCTGTTATGTTATCAGTGCAGGTAATGAAGATAAATGAATTTCGAAGCTGGGTCATCTTGTGGGAAGGAGCTGTTCTGTTATTTTCATGTGGGGGGAAATTTGTGACAAATGGTGAAGGTGAAGTGAGATATAATAGAGGTGGCGTGAGGTTAAGAAGCATTAAGGATGGGCTGACACTTGATGAATTGAGGCTAATGATATCTGAGTGGATTGGTGGCGATGGAAGAAATTATGACATTAAGTACACAGTGGCCTTTGATGAGAAGACATTGATTGACCTTCATGACAATGCTGAAATGTATAACCTCTTTCAATACAATGGGAACAGCGGTCATGTGTATGTGGCTGAAAAAAGACAAGTAGGTCCCCAACCAAGGGACAATGTAGAAATGTAAGTGGAAGTTTGTCCTAACTATTTGTTGTCATTTATGAATTTCTTCTTGTCATTTGTGTTAACGAGTCTTGTCATTATGAATGCAGAACAGAGAGATTCATGGGCATGTCACAGCAAACGAACTGGATGTGTCTCCCATTAGTTTGTGTTGTGATTATGGCTGGCTCAGTGAAGAAAATGCTCGTGAATGTGACAATGATGAAATAAGTGGGCCCCCTAATGTGGATAAATCTATCGGAGCTGAAGATACGGATGGTAGTGAGATGGTTCATGCGGAATGGAGGGGACTTTTAACAGGAGTGGGCCAACGTTTTCCTAGTGCAGATGTATTTCGGGTGTTTGTATACAAGTTTGCACTTGCAAACAAGTTTGTGGCCAAGTATATGAGGAATAGCAAGGAATTCATGTCGATAAGGTGTAAAGTTGAGGGTTGTCCATGGAAGCTATGTGCAAATCATGTGGGGAAGAGTTGTGATGTGCTACGAGTGACGACATTTATAAACCGGCATGTTCATTCTGCCCAAGATAGCTTGGACGTGATGCATAGTGGAAGAGCTAGTTTGAACTCATCAATAATAATTGATGAGATGAGGGATCATGCAGACAAGCGCACTTCTGAGATAAGGAAGAGGTTGAAACGAGAGTATGGGATTGATCTAACATATAAACAGGCTTATAGAGCAAGAGAGAAGTCACTGGAAGACATATATGGCAGGCTTGAACAATCATACATGCTCATACCATGGGTATGCGAAAGGATAAAGGAAACAGATGAAAAATCAGTGGCTGAATGGACTGCTATTGGGAACCGGTTTGAACGTGTTTTCATTGCCTACGGGGCATGCATTGAGGGTTTCTTGGGTGGCGCGAGGCATATTATGTATGTTGATGGAACTCACTTAAGCGGACCATACAAGGGGACAATGTTGTCAGCTTCAGCTTATGATGCAGATAACGAGCTGCTGCCATTTACAATTGCAATTGTGAAGGGAGAAACACTAGATAACTGGACGTGGTTTTTCTATATGATAAAAAAAATCCTGAGTTCTGTGGAAGTAACGATTGTATCAGATCGACACAATGCTATCATCGGAGGAGTGGCATCAATCTTTGGGGGTCAAAGGCATGCCTTTTGTTATAGACACATCAAGGAGAATTTTAGTTCAGAAGTTATGAAAATGAATAAGGGGCAAACAAGGACAAATGGCCGATCAAAGGAGGATGCACTATATTTATTGGATAAAATTGCATACACAAGGACGGATGAGAAATTTGAGGCAGCAATGGATGACATGAGATCCTTTTCTCCAAGGCTATTTGATTGGCTTATTCATCATGGGGATGTAGATAGGTGGGCTAAAAGTAGGTTCCCATATAAAAGATGGGACAATATTACAACTAATATAGCAGAATCATTCAATGCATGGATGGTGAATGAGAGAAAGCATACTGTACCCCAATTGATCTATGAGCACCGAGATAAAGTTGCAAGAAAGCTGCATGCCTCCTATGTGGGTATGACCAAATGGAAGAATTGCGTTGGCCCAAATATAGAGAGTAAGGTGCTAGATATGGTGGCTGGGTCTGACCATATGTATGCTGAAAATTATGGTGGGGGAAGAGTGAAGGTGACAACATCACGTGGAGACCATCGTGTTGATCTTGGACTACACCAATGCAGTTGCAGATCTTGGCAAATGACGGGGATCCCTTGTTCCCATGCTTGTGCTGCCATCAAGATTGTGCACGGCAATGTTTATGATTATATTGATAATTGCTATAAAAAGTCATCACAAGAAAAGATCTATGCTCGCAGTATGATTCCTGTGGTAACAACAGACATGCCTCACCCAAATGACTACTATAAAATAGAAAATGTCAGTGAGCAAGTTTTCTTGCTACCTCCCATGACATCCCGACCACCAGGAAGGCCAAAAGTAAACAGGGATGAATCACAGTTCCAGAACAAACGGATATACCACTGTGAAAGATGCCACCAGCCTGGACACACAAGGAGGAATTGCAGAAATCTTAACCCATCATGAAGTTTCGAGTACAGTGGGGATGGGTCATTTTTTGGTGTACATAGTTGTATGCTCCGCCCTTGTCAATTTTTTTGGGACTGGGGTTGTAGTTAGGAGCTAGGTGGAGACATTTTTTTGTAAGTAAGCTGATAGAAATTTCAGTGATAACGGAGCATTAAGTGTGGCTAGTATCTTAATGTCCACTTGTTGAATACATGAAAGGAAGTTACTGTTATGGGGATGTTAGCTTTTGTTAATGGCGCATTACTTGTTGTCATTTTTAAATTTGTTCTGGTCATTGGCAGTGATGCTATCAGCATAAGCTGACAGCCGTGTTGAACTGATGTTGTAAAATCAGACCAGGTTATCCTTATCATTATCGCTGTCATATTCGCTTCACATGGTGTCATTTTTAAATTTGTTCTGGTCATTGGCAGTGATGCTATCAGCATAAGCTGACAGCCGTGTTGAACTAATGTTGTAAAATCAGACTAGGTGATCCTTCTCATTATCGCTGTCATATTCGCTTCACATGGTGTCATTTTTAAATTTGTTCTGGTCATTGGCAGTGATGCTATTAGCATAAGCTGACAGCCGTGTTGAACTGATGTTGTAAAATCAGACCAGGTGATCCTTATCATTATCGCTGTCATATTCGCTTCACATGGTGTCATTTTTAAATTTGTTCTGGTCATTGGCAGTGATGCTATCAGCATAAGCTGACAGCCGTGTTGAACTGATGTTGTAAAATCAGACCAGGTTATCCTTATCATTATTGCTGTCATATTCGCTTCACATGGTGTCATTTTTAAATTTGTTCTGGTCATTGGCAGTGATGCTATCAGCATAAGCTGACAGCCGTGTTGAACTGATGTTGTAAAATCAGACCAGGTTATCCTTATCATTATTGCTGTCATATTCGCTTCACATGGTGTCATTTTTAAATTTGTTCTGGTCATTGGCAGTGATGCTATCAGCATAAGCTGACAGCCGTGTTGAACTGATGTTGTAAAATCAAACCAGGTGATCCTTATCATTATCGCTGTCATATTCACTTCACTTGGTATCATTTTCTGTTGGATACCAACAGGATATATTGAAGTAAAATTTAGTGACCTGAACAAAAAATGAAAACTAATAGCACATGTCCAATGAGGTTGTTGTCATCATCTGTTTTTGTGTGGTTAAAACCAGATTCATTCATGTCACTGGGGAATAAATTGGCATCATGGTTCTCAACTATCATACATTTATGGATACCAATCTCTGTTAACCATAACAATACACAGTAAATTTTTGGTCAACCTACAATGCACATTACATACAGCAATCTAACAGAGGACAAGTGAATTATGACCCTAACATCGAGACACCTAAGACCGACGCCTTTTCTTGGACTTTGTGCTCTTGGTTGGTTGTGGTCGTCGAATAAGGGCCAATGCCTCGTCACATTTTTCATTCTGTTCATGATTGACCAACCACCATGTCAGGTCACGACGAAAGCCAACAACTTCTTCCTCTGTGTAGGTAAGGGTCACACCAGGTTCCCATCTTCTCAGCCACATCATGCAGTGCACCCCACAATCCCTCTTGTGGACGCAACAATATCAGCACAGTTAGTTAACACATCTGACATGTGCATTTACCCCACAGAAATCGAATTTGACAAAACTGACAGGTTATTCTGCTGGGGAACTTCTGCAAATATCATGGGAGACATTGGCTTTTTCCCAACCAATCCTGGCTTGACCAAGTCCAGTATAATATTGAGCCTCATCCTCTGCAACAACATTCAGGACCAACATAGAAAGTTTAATGATTTTCCAAGTTCAAAAACTAGGGTAAAGATAATGAGTTTTTTCTTACACAGTCATCCACAGTCATTTCCACTGGGTCTTTGATGACAACCTTCTTCTTCTACTTTCTGTCCTTGGTTCCGAAATGGTTCATCATGGAGTCTATTACGTGGAAATCCAATGTGCTAGGCTGAATGGCAACGCAAAACCAGTGTTGGCCAACAAGAGCAGGACCAATTATGAAATCACATTTAGCTAAGTTGTAGCCAAGGAACTCAGGAAGAAAGAGCTTCTTATATTTTTGGGCTTTCCAGGTTGGATCATGTGCCATCATGTTCTGCATGACATGAAATTGTTAATCCATTAACAGAGAACAAGTCATTTCCAATTCAATTGCTGTTATTGGTATTTGCATTTGGAATTATGCAACCTCACCATAAAATCAACATCGAAAATGTGCCTCTTCCCTGGCCCCAACTCTGCCTTCATGTCCTCTATCACTGCCTTGCACACCAAATTAAGCACCTACAGAACACAAGTGAAAATGTCATTCTAGTACAATAATCTCACCAAACATTATCAAACATAATCATGGGTGCAGGGACAGAGCATTCTAAAATACCCTGTTATTTACTCTGTTCACTCCACCCAGGGAAAACAGCTGTTGTCGGTCTATATCTTCATCAAACATTTTGATGACAGTCCTGCAAACATTGTCAGATGTCAGTGACAGAAAGTATGGTGTTGGGGACATCAATACTTGTCATTCCCATGTATGTTATTGTCATTTTCAATTCTATTGCTGTCATTGTCAGGGCACACTGTGTCATTTAAAAACAAAACACTAGCTACGGATATACTTACATATTCCTCTCTTCCTCTCCCTTGGGTCTACGGGATATTAAAGTGAAAAAGATGTCCCTTTCCTCCTTTGGCCTCTTCGTCCTCGGAGCTGCCTTGAATTCTATCCACGGAGATTTAATTGTGGAACTCTTTGCCCTTGTTGACCTCCTAAGGTCAATCGATTTTTCAGGCCCTCCTTCCTCCCCACTGTCACTGCTCACCCATTCTCAATCCAACAGCAAAGGAACATTGGTAGGGGTCATTGTCAGTACATGTGTAGCTTCCTCACCCTCATCATTTGAATCCCGAACCTCCTTATCATCATCTTCGGCCTCCTCAACCACATAATCATGACTGACTTCCATGTCATCATGGTCATCTTCCTCCTCATCAACCACATGACCTCCTTCCCTGTCATCATGGTCATCTTCCTCCTCATCCTCGTCGTCGTCGTCATCACCTCCATGACCATCACGGTCACCCTCTTCTTCCACCTCCTCAACCATGTAATCATCACTGACTTCCCTGTCATGAAGGTCATGTTGTTCTTCATCCTCATCCTCATCCTCATCCTTCTCATCATCTCCTTTGCTGGTTTCATCCTCATCAAGTTCCTCATCTGCACTTCCCGCTTCAACCTCTCTTGCAATCTCCTCCACCACTCGGTCAACATCATCAGCTTCTTCAGCATCGTTACCAGCTGCATCACCAACTGTTTCAACCCCTTCTTTAGCAGTGGCATTCTCATTCCCCATCCCCTTAACTTTGGCGTTCAATCCAATCTGCAGTTTATCTCATTTTTCAAAATATTATTTTTTTTAGAGTAAAGTAAACTAATATCCTTCTGTTTTACCTAAATTACAGAAACTTCCTCTCTATTTTGAAAATATATATAAACATCCTTTAAAATTAAAATATATGTCACACAAATCTTCTTTGTATATTTGAGATTTTATTTCCATTCATCTAATCATAAGTTGATTGTTAAATTTAAATTTTAAATTTTTTTTAACCAAAATACCCCTCCTTAACATAAAAGTTATTTAAACATTTGTATTTGTCGAAAAAATAATTTTTCATACAATAAAAACAATTTTAATGCATGTATTTTCAAAATTCTTAAAATGTAATAAAATCTATTAAATTTTATTATATTATAATTTTATAATTTTAATTCTTCATCATATATAATGAAACTTATTTATTTAAGTTTTTTTTAAATAACTAGAAAATAAAATGAATACATATTTTTTTCATCATATAATATAAATTAAAAGTTTGAGAGATTATAGAAATCATTTAAATTTAAAGTTTAAAATTTTTAAATTAAAATTTTCTTAGAAACATTTATAACTTATTTAGTCAATTATATATTTAGTTAAAGAATTAATCAAAATTTCATTCAAGGTTGGTATATCTATGTTAACTAAATTCCTTACTTTTCTATCCTAGCTAGTATGATAAAAATACTAAACAAATAGCTATTTGCAAAAAAAAAAAAATGAGGAAAAATTTTAAATTCTTCAAAACTTTTTAGCTAAAATTTAGGGATTTAGTTTTATGAAAGGTAAATTAGTAAATAAAAAGTATTTTAATATAAATTTTAATTAAAAAAGTATCTTTTTATAATATTCTTAACAAAGTTCACAACTAGGACTTAAGTATATAATTTTTAAAATAGAGGGACGGTCCGTGTAACTAAGTTACTAAGGTAAAATGCAAAGAATATCAAAGTCTTGGACTCTTCTTTTTATTTCAATAATTTCCCTATTTTGTCTCTCATGCTCTCTCCTCCATGTAAATAAAAGTATTTTTGAGTAGCAACTTATAATCTTTATATATTTGTTGTCTTTAATCAATTTTAGCTAACTTTTTTATTTACCTTGTTTGATCAAATATTTCTTATAAAAAATAACGAAGACAGTACTATTCACTCGGCTAACCTTGTCGTGTAGATAATGTCGGTGTGAGGATTATGGATGTGTTATTAAAAAGTGCCCGTTTGAAATTGTTTTTTTTGTTTTTGTTTTTGGTGACAAAAGAAACCCGTTATTTTGGTAGTATGACAGATTCTCACCAAAATGGCAGAATCCATTCTAAAGGCCAGTACCATTGTTTCAATGAAACCCACCGGTCCAACTTTTGGGAAAATCATGATTCTAAAATCTGTTCTTCTAATCACTTTTCGGCAAAATTTATTCATCACAAGCTAATCCTATATAATAACCCATCCCATAGCATTTATAAAATCCTGCCCATTGATCTTTAGTGTTCGAAATTTTTTACTTTAACAAATATCTATAATTCACTCAAAAAAAACCAAGTCATCATCTATTTTACTTTGATATCAAGTATTCTTGGAACTATTCAAATGCAAAATCCACCAATAAATCATATTAAATGATGAAATCACGTGGTTTATTCTCTGCCATAAATACCAGAGCAGAATCAAACATTTAAATTGCAACAAGAGACAAAGTCAAACCTTTAAATTACAAATCATAACATACTAACCCTATATTATAGCAGGAAAGGTGAGATTCCTCATCACAGACGCTGCTTTAGCCGTTGTACCATTAGAAGCATGCAATGAGTAGTGATGTTCATAGTCTAATGCGGGTACAGGAGGCAGACGTGGTGGACACCCAGACATTACTACTGCCGCAGTGACGGACACAACTTCAGCCCCTTGTTCATTTATTTCCATGAATGACTTCTGAAATATGCTGGAAACATATAACTTCCGAGCGCCAAAAGAACTAAATATCCCTTTCCACTTTCCTCCAGAAAATGGCAGTGTAACCCCTACTCCCCTCAGCGTATCAGAAACTTCCACCTCGTAAGCAGTATTAAATTTTGGGTTCTCATCATGGCCACATAGATTCTTTAAGGTTTCTGTAACATGTTCTCTACGCACCTGATCAGTATCTTTCACTGCAAAACGGAACACCATGCTGAGAGGGAGGTTATATTTCCGTTGCTTTTTAAATGGTTGATAAACCAGTTTCATGCCCTTAGAAAATGCAATGCTCTTGTGACTCGTCAAGGTATCCATCTCTGAGTTCTTGCTTATAAAGGTTGGATTTGATGTCCCTTTCCATGCTCCTTTAAAGTGTATTGCATTTGTAAAGACGAACTTGACTGAGTTGCTGAGAAACCCCTCACGAATAAAGTCTTTAACGAGGCAACTTGTCTCGTTTTCCGCCCAAGAATTAATTTCTTGGGTCGCATGAGGAGGCTGCACAAATTATATCACTTTCATGTTGTTCGTAAATGGATACAATTTGAGGAAACTAAAAAAATTAGTTAAGTTGATTTTTTTGGGTGACAAGTGTGTTTATGACCAAATCCAATCCGCTACTATTTTTGCAAGAGATAACATAAGAAAAGAAACACATACTACAAGAGTCATAATATAAACGAAGGCCGATCGCATACACATTTAAGTATAAACTGGCTATAATTAATCTTTGAATCCTTATAGTTTCTCCTTATTTTTAATCAGGTTCTTATAGTTTAACTTATTTTTTAATTAGGTCCTGTGATTTAATCAATAACAAGCACCTCATAAAAAGAAGAAAAATTTTATAAAAACATGATTAAAAATACATGAAATCATAGGGATCTAGTTATAAAAACTTGCCTATTGATTATCTTTTTAAAAAAAAAAGAGGGAACATTAACTGGGCTTGAAAGTTCACTGGGTTAAGAGCGGCTCTATAATCAGAGTCGAGAATCTGTTTAAAAGAGGGCTTCAGAGTAAGGGATTGATCAAGCCATAAGGCATTGACGCAACGGGTACCAATGCCCTCGGCGAGATCATCATAGGGCAAGATGACGTCCGGTCGAGCGGCTAAAGAATTGAGACGATCGACGGAACGGCGGTCGATGACGGCGAGAAGCTGACGGCGGGGGCAAACGCTGGAGCCAGCAGCAAGGAGGCTGAGCACCACATTGAAGGACGAGGTTGAAAACACCCTTTCTTCACCTGTATCTCCTCCCAAAAGTTGGTTTGCGAAGATCCCTGCTTTCGAATACAACCTGGGACCTCTCCGAGTTTTCCGACCTGCTCCTGTTCCGCAGCAGTAAGAAGCCGTTTGGTTTGCCAAAACTGGGCAGAAGAAGAAGGAAAGGACACTCCGTTCCAGCCATGGAGTGATGGAGGGCCGACGAAGGAGATTTAGCCGCATGATGGAGAGCAGTTCGAACCTCAAACCTTAACTCTTGCTCCTGGGTATCCGTTTTCGTTGCTTCGAGTTTTGTTGCGTTGTTTTGTTTCCAAATACCAAACATTAACAATATTTCAAACGATGGAAATTGAATTTAATATTGAAGGTCAAAAAAATTGAATTTCATAACAACAACAGCAAAAAAAATAATAATAATAATTAATCTCTAAGTTTTTATAATTTCAACCAATTTTGAATCAGGTCTTTATAATTTTTTTTAATCAAATCTTTATACTTTTACATGTTTTTAATTAGGTCATTGCATTTATTTTTCCTTTTATCAAGTCCTTACAAGTTCACATTATTTTTAATTAAGCCCCTAAATTTTTTATTCTTTATTTTATAAATTCTAATAGTACTATTCTATAAATATAAAATAGTATATATTATTTAATATTAGTTTATAAACAATAATATTTTAAAAATAATGAATTATTATAATAATTTTATTTTTTTAGCAAAAAAAATTAATTGTTCTAAAATTTTTCCTGAATTAATTAATTATATTACTTATCTTTTATTATATAATTATTAATTTAATTTAATTATTAATATTTTATATGTCAGTATTAATTTATTTAATTAAGTTTATATTTAATTAATAAATAAAAATTAAAACTAGATGGACCTCATTAAAAATTTAGTGAAATTATAAAGACTTAATAAAAAAAATAAATGCGAAGATCTAATTAAAAACAAATAAAAGTATAAGGACTTGATAAAAAGAAAAAAAACTATAAGGACCTAATTCAAAATTAGTTAAAACTATAAGAACTTGCGAATTAATTAACTCAAAAAGGGATAATGATTAATGAACGACACTCCTACTTTAATACAGAAAAAAATTAAAACGGATCACATTTATCGTAACTCCGGATTCTTTGCATGTTTAAGGATATTTATAAAATATGCATTTCATTCGGACAGTCTAAACTTAATTTGAAAGAATTTGGTGTCACTACTTTTTTGTTTTTCGCATGAATCAATTTAAGAATTGTGTTCATTTTATATCAAAATAAAAAACGATATGTACCAGATAAAAAACTTATAATAAGAGATCATATCTAAACCATCTAAATTAAATTTAAACATTCTATAAATATTTTGATGCTAATTAAAATATTCTTGAGTGATTATACAAAATATATTTTTTACAATTTTAAATCATGCATATTTAACCTTTGAACTTTTTCTGGCCAAGAAAAAAGAACCTCCAAACTTTTACTAGTAGGCCCCATGAAGGAAGTTATTTGGATACGAGTAGGCTAATCCCCAGTTTTCTTTAGGGTATTCTTTCAGTCTTAAATATATAAGATTTTTATATATACTAGTATAAAAATTTTATATTTAAGACCGTACATGTTTTTGATGTTACAAGATATCAGGTATTCTTGTGAAGGATTACGCACCACTTTGATATTATTACTTCCGTTTTGCGTATATCCACGTCAAAAGAAACACCAAGAGGAAGTGATAGTTATTGGAGAGGATCATGAAAAATATAATTATTCCAAAACACCAAATTTTCAAATACAAATTTTAAGTTTAATATTGTTCCTTCCAAACCTCCCATATTTTCCCCTATATTTCTTCCTCCGTTTTATTTTTAAAATTAATGCGAATTAATAAATCTCACTAAACTAAAAATTAAAGTTTTATTTTCTTTATAAAAAAATTAAAATTTTAATTTTAAAATCATCACTGACTTTAACTGAAAATAAAAGTTATGTAATTTTATCAAACTTTAGCATTATTTTATTATTTATTATAGGGAGAATCCCAATTAAATTTCATTGAAATACCAAAATTCTAATTCAAACCTACCTTTTTTAGCAAATCCCTAATATTCTAATAAGGTCAAGAAGCGTAATTAGGAATTTCTGGATGTTGTTAAAAGACTAAAATATTCCTCTATAACTAAAAATTAAAGGTTAATATAGGCCTGATTTCATTTTTAATTATTTCAACTAGATTTGATTAAACATTTTCCTCTATTTTTAGTTTGTTTTGTTTTTGCTTTTTTATAAAACAAATAAATATTCACATATATTTAATGCATAATATAAAATTATTTTAAAAAATTGAACTCTCAAATAAAAATATAAAACAAACTTAAAACCACGCTGTTGAAAATTTTTAAACCAAGTGCCATAAAAATAATTTTATTTTTTACTTAAATATCAAAAGATGATTAAAATATTTACCGTGTATTAGAAAATCAAAGTGAAAAAATAGAATAGTAATTCATAAAATCTCAAAATCACTTTTAATTGAAAGGAGCTTTGAGATGGTACCATGACTCTGAAATTCATTAAAAAAAGTGCACATTCATTCTCAATAAGCAATGATATATATATATATAATAAATATTTATTTATATATATAATTAGTTTAAAAATAGAAACAAAAAACAAAAATATTTTTTTCTGGTTAGGTTATATGTAGATAAATAGCACATTTTCTTTAAAAATATTTCTATCATATATTAAATATATGTATATAGATAAATATTTTTTGTTTTATGAAAAAATAAAAATATAAAACAAACTAAAAATAGAGGACTTTTTTTTATTGTAACCCCCAAGATCACACAGCAGAGAGGTCATAAAAATGGCGAAGAGCAAGGTTTTGATCGTGGGGAGAACTGGGTATACAGGGAGGAGGATTGTGAAGGCTTGCCTGGCTCAGGGCCATGAAACTTGTATTGTTCAGAGACCTGAGTTAGGCCTTCAAACTGAGAAGCTTCAGATGTTGCTCTCCTTCAAGAAGCAAGGTGCTCATCTCGTTCAGGCCTCCTTCTCCGATCACCGGAGCCTCGTTGACGCCGTCAAGCAGGTTGACGTTGTCATCAGCGCCGTTTCCGGCGTTCATTTCCGGAGTCATAGCATTCTATTGCAGTTCAAGCTTGTTGATGCCATCAAAGAAGCCTGAAATGTTACGGTATTATTGTTTCTATCATGTGTCTGTGATCCATCTTCTGTTCCTTCGATTGCTTCTTTCATTGAGTCCTTGTGTGGACCACTAGTCTTGGACCACTAGTTTTTTACCATAAGGACCAGTGTATGCATTGAGATGAAAAGATTAAGTAAATCAACCATGACGTAAAAAATGAATCTTTTTTTCCAAGTTTTCAAGTATTTCCCATATAGCATTCTTTTGTTCTGCAAAACATATTTAGAGAACAAAATCAGGCAATTTTTTTTTTTTATCAGAATGCTAAACAATATTGTTGTCTTTATATATATATATATATATATATATATATATATATTTTCTTGTAGCGTTTCTTGCCTTCGGAATTTGGACTGGACCCTGCTTGTATGGGACATGCTCTGGAACCAGGAAGAGTGACATTTGATGACAAAATGACAGTGAGAAAAGCAATAGAAGAAGCCAACATCCCTTACACTTACATCTCTGCAAACTTGTTCGCGGTGTACTTCGCCGGCAGCCTCTCTCAGATGGGCTCCTTTGTCCATCCAAGAGACAAGGTCCATCTATTTGGTAACCTCAAAGGTAACACACAAACTTCAATTGCTTTCATTCACCATCAAACTTTCTAGTATTACATTTAAGGTTATCCCCTCTTCTCCTCTGACTGCTCCCTGCAAAATCCAACTTAGTTCAACGACAGCAACATCTTGTATTTAAGGCCACCAGAGAACAGTCTTTCCCAAGGAGAGCTTATTGGAATTTGGGAGAAACTCATTAGGAAGGAATTAAACAAGACATACATATCTGCAGAAGACTTCCTCACAAGCCCGAGAGGTAAGAAAAAAAACTGCTTTTGTGTTCACATTTGTTAAGCAGCTCTTTTTTTTCCTCTCTCTCTCTCTCTCATTGGAATGTGTTTTTCTTATTTGCAGGCATGGATTATAAGCTACAAGTCGGAATATGACACTTCTATCATATTCTCTACGAGGGACGTTTAACAGATTTTGAAATAGGTGAAGAGGGATAAGAAGCCTCAAAGCTTTATCCTGAGGTTAATTACATACGTATGGATGAGTACTTAAGGATCTATGTGTAAAATAAATCGATCTCATATGAGTCCAGTGTAATCAACCATGATTATCAGTTAAAATAAGCTTACTTTGATGAGGGTTTGGGAGGGAAAACAAAAAAAGCTTTCTCATATCTTAGTATATCAGTGATCTCTAATGCTTTATGTATCATTACTATTTTCTATTATTTCTTTTTGAGCAAATACTATTTTCTATTATTAACTTTATAATAATAATAATAATCAAAGACCAATTTGGCTTGCAGAAATTAGACTTGGGACTTCAACCCCTTCAACCAGAAGCCTTTTTTAATCCTAATTTCTAATGCATCCCATATTATTTATAAAGTCCTCCTCATTGATCTTTAATATATGAAGTTTTTAACAAAATGTAATAAACATCTATAACTCTCTAAAAAAAATGTCATCATCTATCTTACTTTAATATCAGGTATTCTTGAAATTCACATGTAAAAACTACTAATAAAGCATATTAAACAGTGAAGTCATGTGATTTATTCTCTACTGCCGCAGTGACGGACACAACTTCCGTCCCTTGTTCGTTTATTTCCATGAATGACTTCTGAAATATGCTGGAAACATACAACTTCCGACCACCTCGAAAGAACTAAACATCCCTTTCCACTTTCCTCCAGAAAACGGCAATGTCACCCCTACTCCCCTCAGCGTCTCAGAAACTTCCACCTCGGAAGAAATATTAAATTTTGGGATCTCCTGGTGGCCACACAGATTCTTTAAGGTTTCTGTAACATGTTCTATACGTGCTCGATCAGTATCTTTCAATGGGAAACAGAATAACATGCTGAATCGTTCGTAATCATATTTACTTTGCATTTTAAATGGTTGATAAAACATTTTCAAATCCTTAAATGTGTTCCCCTTGGCACTCATGGAGTGATCCATCTCTAAGTTCTCGTTCCTTTCTTGAGGACGTCTG